CCCCAAAACCCCAAAACCCCAAAACCCCAAAACCCCAAAACCCCAAAACCCCACTATTTGGTTAGCTAGTTGATGGAATTTAAAATTGTTGCCCACCAAAATGGAAGCTCTCCTCAAAGCTGACTGAGAGAGATTTTAGTCTTAAAGATTAAAAGAGAAGGATTAGTGCTTGAGTTGGCATGTTTTGGAGAAATTTTGAAAAGGGAAAATAGAGCAATGATAATTAAAGCATATTATTGATTATTTCTCAGCCTTGTTGTGCAAGTTATCCAACCACTCGATCATTGTGACAGCCAGACTGGAGGTGATGAAGTATGTTCACATTTTAAGTCTCCATCCAACGAAGAAACCGAGGAGTCCACCTTTATTATAGATCCTAGAGACAGCCTTTCTGATACCAACCTTTGCTTTATCAACTTCTTTGTGTCCTTCTGGTCTCATCTCTTTACTATTCTTTTGGATGTAAGTCTTGATGTTGTCAAAAGGCATTGCGATGATAATAGTTGTAACTGTTACACTCATGGTACATAGCAGCAGCTTGTAGCCAGTAATCATTTGGTCTTTGGGGATGTCCCAAAACTGTCTCACTTTATTCTTGTAAAAGGTGTCTGATAATAATAAAGTTGTCCATGCTACTATCTGACGTGCGAAATAAGGGCTGAACCCTTTGAAGAGTTCCTTTCTGGCGTTTCCTTTTATTTCCTTTAGAAAATCAGAGTAGTTAGACTTCGTATTTTGAGAGGTCATGATAAACACCTGCAGTCTTTCAAAGGGAGTAATGACACTTGCTTCCACACTCGTCACGCTTAAAGATGTCAGCATTTTTAGCTTATACTTGTGTTTTTCAATATCTAGTCCAAATAATTGGGAGTAGAACCTTGGAAGTCCAGAGATCAGGGGGTATCTGTATGAGCTCTTACACACCTGCTTGGTGCAGTTGGTAAGAATTCCAGAGTAAAACCCAGCAACTCCTTTGGTGCTCTTGATCATCCTTCCTACTGCTAGTTCATTCTTCAGATGAGGATTAGTCTGCCAGTTTGCTTTGAGTACATCGAATGGGTGCAAGATGGGATAGACTGCTAAAGTTCCACCCATTCCTATTAACGAGCTCATTGCTGCAAGTTTTAAAGAGCTCTTGTTAGTCGAAACTTTTGTGGTAGAGGTTGAACTTTGAGTAGCCATATCCTTTCTTAAATAATTTTTTATTATTGCTCTCAATGCTCTTTGCTTATGTAGGGGTTTTGGGGTTTTGGGGTTTTGGGGTTTTGGGGGTTTTGGGG